TCCCATAGGTTTTGCACTGTTGTCTGTTCATTTTCATTTGTTTCCAGAAACTTTTTGATTTCTTCTCTTATCTCATTATTGACCCATTCATTGTTTAATAGTGTGCTCTTCAGTCTCCATGAGTTTGCAAGTTTTTGAAGTTTCTCTTTGAGGGTGACTTCCAGTTTCGAGCCCTTGTGTTCTGAGAGAAAGTTTGGTATTATTTCAATTTTCCTGAATTTGCTGAGGCTTGCTTTGTGTCCTAACATATGGTCTATTTTTGAAAAACTGCCATGAGCATTTGAAAAGAATGTGTATTTTTCTTCTTTGGGATGTAAGGTTCTATATATGTCAGTTAAGTCTCTTTGATTCAGTGTGTTATTCAGCGCCACAATATGTTTATTAATGTTTTGTTTGGAAGATCTGTTCATTTTTGACAGTGGAGTGTTGAAATCCCCTACTATCAGTGTGTTGTTGTCTACATCTTTTTTCAAGTCATCCAACATTTCCTTATAAACTTGGCGGCTCTTATATTGGGAGCATATAAGTTTACAATGTTGAGGTCTTCTTGATAGATTCTTCCTTTAAGTATTATAAAGTGCCCCTCTGGGTCTCTCTTTATGGCCATTGTTTTGAAATCTACTTTGTCTGATACAAGTATGGCAATCCAGGCCTTTTTCTCTTGCCCATTGGCTTGGAATAGTATTTTCCATCCCTTTACTTTCAATCTGTGTAGGTCTCTTGCTCTGAGGTGGGTCTCTTGTAGGCAGCATATGTGTGGGTCGTGTTTTCTTATCCATTCAACTCTCTTGTGTCTTTTGATTGGGGTATTTCGTCCATTCACATTGAGAGATATTACTGATAGAAACTTACTCATCTTTTCTCTTTGTACCTGTGTTCCTCTCTCTCTCATTCTTTTCCTTCATCTGCTTATACCAGTCCCCTTAGCATATCTTGGAGTGCTGGTTTGGTAGAGATGTATTCTTTTAGTCTTCTCTTGTCTGGGAAACTCCGTATTTCCCCTTCTATTTTAATTGGGAGCCTAGCTTGGTAGAGCAGCCTTGGTTGTAGGCCCTTGCTTTCATGGCTTGGAATATTTGTTGCCATTCCCTTCTGGCTTGTAGTGTTTCTGTTGAGAAGTCAGCTCCTAGATGTATCGGGGTCCCGTTGTATGTTACTTTCTCCTGCTCCCTTGCTGCCTTGAGGATTCTCTCTTTGTCTTTGACATTTGCCATTTTAATGATGATGTGTCTTGGAGTGGACCTCTTTGAGTCCCTCTTGGGTGAGGTCCTTTGTGCTTCCTTGGATCCATGAGTGCCTTTCTCTCCTCAAATTGGGGAAATTTTCCATCATGACTTTTTCGAGGAGGTTCTCTATCCCTTGCTTCCTCTTCTTCTCCTTCTGGTATCCCTATTATACGGATATTATTGTGTTTCAGGTTGTCCTTCTTTTCCCTAAATGCCTCTTCATTCTTTTTGAGTCGTTTTTCCATTTCTTGTTCTTTCTGGGAGCTTCTTTCTACCTTATCCTCCATCTCACTGATTTGATCCTCGGCTTCATCCAGCCTGCTTTGGATTCCTTCTACTGTGTTCTTCAATTCAGAAATGGTATTCTTCATATCCTCTTGTGTCTTCTTGATAGTTTCTATGTCCTTTTCCAGGCTGATATAGTTTGCTGTAAGATCCTGATAGTTTCTCTGCAGTTTCTCAGTTATCTTTGAGCTGGCTGAGCTCATTGAGCTTCCTTAGAACCATTGTTTTGAATTCAGTATCTGATAGTTCCCTTGCCTCTATTTCATTTAGCTCTCTCTGTGGGGAGTCCCCTTTTCTACTCATTTGGGGGGAACTTCTTTTTCTTCCCATTTTTGTGAGAGTCTATTAAGTATTTTTGTCCTTTACTTTTCTTTCTGGGCCTGCCTCTGATGATGTCAGTTGTTGACCCTATATGTTGACCTTGGGTTGTTTGTTTGAGCCTTCCAGGAGTCTAATGTCTGTGTCTGACTCCTGCTTGGAGCAGCTCTGTGACCCCTTCGGTCAGGGCTGGGCTATTTTTTGGGATCTCTCTGCACTCTCATGTTGGCTTCTTGAGTGCACTCCCAGCGCGGCAGGATCCCACGCCTGCCTGGGCTCGCATGTGCTTGCCCCAGACTAGGGGGCTTATTCGCGACCTCGCGTACTCATCTGGCCCCTCTGGCCGGTGAGCTCCGCGGCACTGGTCAGTTTAGGGTCTTCTATTGTGTATTTTCCCCGCTTTTGGCTCTTTGGGTGCGTTGCTTGCCCTCGCTAAATGGGGACTACGGAAATGGGAGGAAGTCAGCTCCAGTACTCTCCGGTTAATCCTGTCTCTGGTCTCTCCTCCAGGGACTCTGGGCAGCTCTACTAATTTTGTGGGCTGCTCAGCAATTGCAGGCAGGCTGGTCAATTTACGCCTGCCCTTGCTGCTCTGTGCACTCCCTCACCGCCGTATTGGTGCCAATCTGTGGGAGGCCTTGCCGGCCACTGCAAGCGTTCACCAGCCTGCGTGGGTTACACACACGCTCGTCAACTGTTGCCGGTCACTTGGCACAAGTGTGCGTGCCTGCAGTGGGTGTTTTTGGGGTGTCTATGTGTGCTTTTCGGCTTTTGGCTCTTTGGGGGTGTGTCCTTTTCCCACGCAATGGAGACTAGGGAAAGGAGAAGGAGTCGGGACTCCCCGGTTCCTCCTCCCGTTCTTTCCCCAACGCCTCCATTTCTAGTCTCTCCTCAGGGGTCTCTGGGCAGTTCTGTGACCCCTTCAGCCAAGGATCCACCCCCTGTGCAGGCTGCATTTCAATCAAAAGCAGTCTGGTTCATGCGCACCCCTCTTCTGCCTCTTTGGGGTCGCGCCTTTCCAGCCCACAATGGAGGCTACAGAACGAGGAGGAAGTCGGGACTCCCCGGTTCCTACTCCCATTCTTTCCCCAACGCCTCTGTCTCCAGTCTCTCCTCAAGGCTCTCCCAGCCAGTCTGCACTCAGCCCCGCAGCTCACACGCGTAGAAGCTGTGTGCAGAGAGCACAAAAGGCAGGTTAATTGATTCCCTTATGCCTGAGCGAGAGGGTAGCTGCAGAGTGGGAGGCGCGCCATCACCTGGGCTCCTCTGGCCGCCGTGTCAGTTCTCTTCACAAAGTTTTCCTCACCAGTCTTTTCCCAGGCACCAGCCCACCCCGCTGCCACCTCTACCCAGAGATCAAGGAGGGTGGCTGCCACTGCAACTTTTGTGTTGGCCCTTTAAATGTCTCTTTGCATCCCCAGCCACCTGTCTCTGGCAGAGAGCGCCCCTAAGCTTTTCGGGGTTGCATTTTGTCTGTATTTTCTTGGTTTTAGCTGCTGTAGTTTAGGGGTCCCTGTTTATGATTCAGACCCCGTTCTTCTCAGGGAAAGCTAACTGGCCGTTTCAATTTCCCTCTGGTGCCAGTGTCCGTGGGCACCCAGCCCACCCTCACGAGCCTCCATCGCACTTCTCACCCTTTGGGATGTGTGAGAGTCAAATCCACTGTCCGTGGCACCAAGGCTCCTCTCCCACTATCGTTCCACTGCTTTCCAGGTGATTACTCCACTATTTAGTTGCAATTCCAGTTTGGTCTTGGGAGGAGGTCAGCGTGACTCCCTTTCATTCTTCTGCCATCTTCTCTCTCCCCAATTACTTTATTTTTTAATTATTTATTTTTCAATTATAGTTGATGGATAATATTATATTAGTGTCAGTTGTACAACCCAGTGATTAGACATTTATATAACTTACAAAGTGATCACCCCAATAAATCTAGTACCCATCTGACACCATACATAGTTATTACATATTATTGACTATATTCCCTATGCTGTAGTCTAGATCCCCATGACTGTTCCGTAATACTAGTTTGTACTTCTTAATCACCTCACCATTTTTACCCATTCTCTTAAACCATCTCCTGTCTGGCAAACCTCAAAATATTCTCTGTATCTATAAATCTATTTCTGTTCTGCTTGTTTATTTATTTACTTTTTTAGAACCCACACATAAGAGAAATCATATGGCATTTGTGTTTCTCTATCTGAGTTATTTCACTTAGTGCATACCTTTATGTCCATCCATGTTATTGCAGATGGCAAGATTTCATTCTTTTACAGCTGAGTCATACTCCATTGTATATATGTTCCACTTCTTCTTTATCTATTTGTCTATTGGTGGACATTTAGGTTGCTTTCATATCTTAGCTACTGTAAATAATGCTGCAATGAGTATATGGATGTATATATATATTTTTTATTTAGAGTTTTGGGTTTCTTTGGAAAAATACCCAGATGTGGAATTGGTGGGTGTTTCCTTGTTTTTTGTTATACCCTTTTCATTAAAGTCTATTTTGTCTAGTGCAAGTATTGTTATTCCAGCTTTTTTGTTTCCATTTTCATGAAATATCTTTTTTCATCCCTTTATTTCAACCTGTGTGTGTCTTTCAAGCTGAAGGGAGTTTCCTATAGACAGCATTTGTCAGGGCCTTGTTTTGTTATCCATTAAGCCACCCTGTGTCTTTTTTATTGGAGCACTTAATCCATTTGTATTTAAAGTTATTGTTAATAGATATGTATTTATGGCAATTTTATACTTATATTTTTATCTTTTTTTCTTCTTCTTATTAAAGAAACCTCCGTAACATTTCTCTTAATACTCGTTTGATGGTGATGAACTCCTTCAGCTTTTTCTTGTCCAGGAGGCTCTTTATCTGTCCTTCAATTCTAAGTGATGTCTTTGCTATGTAGAATAGTCTTGGTTATAGGTCATTGTTATTTATCACTTTGAATGTTTGGTGCCAATCCTTTCTGGCCTGCAAAGTTTCTGTTAATAAATAAGCTGACAGCTTTGGGGAGTTGTCTGCCTGAGCAAGATGGCTGCTGCCTTCTGGGGGACAGGTGGTGCTGGGATCCCATGGGCTACTTTCTCAATTCTCTCTCCAGGGCCTCCTTCCCCAGTCTCTCCTTGGGCGTCTCTAGCCCACTCTGCCCCACCTTTGCTGAAACCCAGGGTGTAGTGGTGTGATACACTTTATTTTGGAGGTTATTGGATACCTCCCTGACATGGAGATCATGATCAATGTACAAGATTATCTGCAGGTTCCTAAATGGATGGAGCCTGCCATTTTAGTCTTCTCTTTCAGCAAGACATTAGAGTACCATGAATGATATCATGTATCCTGCTTGGACATTCTGGAAAGGGGGACTCACTGTTTGGCCAATTTATCTTATGGGTCTTGGATGGTGGGATCTCTTCAGAGTGGCCATGGGAAAAGAAAAATTCCACAGCCTATTTCCAAGGATCAAGGACATGTCAGAATGAGATCCTCTCATGCTCCTATCTTGGAAAAATCCAAAACTTGTTGATACATAGAACACCAAAAACCAGGCCTGGAAGTCTATGAAAGATACCTTGAAAAAGCCAGCTGCTAAGGATGTCCATCTTGTGCATCACTGCAAATACAAGTATCTGTTTAATTTTTTAGGTGTAGCTGCAAGTTTCTGGTTCAAACACCTCTTCCTGTGTGGTTCACTTGTTTTCCATGTTAGTAATGAATGGCTGGAATTCTTCTATACACAAATGAAGCCATAGATTCACTATATCCCAGTCAAAACAGATCTCTCCAATGTTCAGGAGCTTCTGCATTTTGTAAAAGCAAATGACGACATAGCTCAAGAAATTGCTGAAAGGGGAAGCTAGTGTATTGTGAACCACTTGAGGATGGATGACGTCACCTCTTACTGGGAGAACCTGTTGACTGAATACTCTAAATTCCTGTCCTATAATGTCACAAGAAGTAAAGACTATGATCATATTATTCCCAAAATTTTGAAAACTGAACTCTAATAGTCATCATCAGAATAAAGTCCTCTCTGTGGCAGCAGAAGAAAAGAAAGAAAGGAGAGAGAGAGAGAGAGAGAGAGAGAGAGAGAGAGAGAGAGAGAGAGAGAGAGAGAGAGAAAGAAAGAAAGAAAGAAAGAAAGAAAGAAAGAAAGAAAGAAAGAAAGAAAGAAAGAAAAAGGAAGAAAGAAAGAAAGAAAGAAAGAAGCTGACAGCTTTGTGGGAGCTTTGCTCTACATAGCTAACTGCTTTTCTCTACATAGCTAACTGCTTTTCTCTTGGTACTTTTCAGATTCTCTCTTTGTCTGTAACTTTTGCCATTTTAATTATGATGCATCTTGGTGTGGGCCTCTTTGGCTTCATCTTGTTTGGGACTCTCTGTCCTTCCTGGACTTGTATTTTCATTTCCTTCACCAGATCAAGGAAGTTTTTCATCATTATTTTTTTCAAACAGATTTTCAAGTCCTTCTCTCTATTTTCCTTTTGGTGAATATTGATTTACTTGAAATTGTCCCAAAGGTTTCTTAAACTATCTCCATTCTGAGGGATTCTATTTTTATTTTTGCTGTTTTGATTGGATGTGTTCTGCTCTTTATCTTTCCAATCACTGTTGTGATCCTCTGCTTCATCTACACTACTATTGATTCCTTGTAATGTATTCACCATTTCAGTTATTGTATTCTTCATTTATGACTTATTCTCTTTTATATTTTATGTCTCCATTTTATGTTTTCTATATCTTTGTTGAAGTTATCACTAAGTGCATCTACTTTTCCCCAAAGTTCATTAAATATCCTTATAACCAGTGTTTTGAATTCTGCATCTGCTAGATTGCTTGTCTCCATTTTGTTTAGCTCTTTTTCTGGAGTTTTGTTTTGTTTTTTTATTTGGGACATGTTTCTTTGTCTCTTCATTTGGCTGCCTCCTTGTGTTTGTTTGTTTCTATATATTAGGTAGAGCTGCTATTTCTCCTGGACTTGGTAGAGTGGCCTTATGTAGTGGATGTCTTGTAGGGCCCAGTGGTGCATTCTACTCAGTCATCCAAACTGGATACTCCAGAGGTGCCCCTGTATTGGCTGTGTGCACCCTCCTGTTGTAGTTGAGCCTTAAGTGCTATTGGTACATCAATAGGATGGATTTAAACCCAGGTTGGTCAATTGTGAGGACTAGCTGTAACCATAGTGGAGGATCTGCTGGCAAGAACCAATCCCATGGAGAAAGACTCATATCTGTGGGTCTTGGGTGCTCAATGAGTCCACCTACTCAAATGTACTCCTCATGGATGTGGTTTGGTGGTGCTTTCATATGGTCTGAAGCTTTCCACTGGTTGCTCTGGCTTGGGGGCCTCCTGGGAGGTGTAGGTCAAGGTAAGCTTCTGCCCGCATCCTACCCAAGGTCACCTGGTGTGAGTTACAAAGCAATCTGTAGATGGCTGCTACTTGTGCTGGGCTTGGAGCTACCCAGGAAAGGCCAAGTTGCAAATGAAGACTGGCTTCCACTAGTGCTGGGCCGGGAGCCACTTAGGAAGATGTTTGGGGCATGCCAAGGTGAGATGCAGCTTATCTGGAGTTTGTGAGCCTTTGAAGGGTTTTATGAAAGTACACAGCACAGCTAAGGCTGTTTGTTTGAAAAAGCTACTGGAAAAGGCTTGGGTGGCCCTGAAAGTTGTGTGAGATAAGGTCTCAGGGAATCACCAAAGACAAACACCATCAGTCAGGGAGATACTCAGATATGGCACTCATCTACAGACTCTGTAGGGAGAGGGCTCAAGAAAATGTTTCAGCCAGCACTTCTGTATGGGAGAAAGCTGCCCCTTCAGCCCTTGAAAGGCAATTCAGTTCTTCTCTGAGTGTTTCTTGTACCTTGTGAGCGGCTGCCTCAGTGCTGCAGCTCAGAGTGAGTGAGCCCAGAGTAAGTCTGTGCATGGGTGCTTTAAGAGGAATGCTTGGGAAGACCCAAGATGGTGAAGGAGTAAGTGGAAGCTACACTAATCTCCTAGGGCCAAACTGGAATTACAACTAAATTATAGAAAAATGATCCTGAATAACCAACCAACAGAACACTAGCAGGAGAGAAGCCTTGTACCAAAGGCCTTACAGAACCACACCACCACCACGAGTCTGGCAGGAGATGCAGAAGGGTGCAGGAGGGCTGACTGGGCTTCCACAGGTGGCAGCTGAAGTTCCAGAGGAACATTTTAGCAGCTGGATGGGTTCCACCTGTGAAGAGGCGGCCTGTTGGGAAACACCCGGCCTTGTTTCAGGAGCCGTAACACTGACAACAGGCTGGAGGGCCCCAAGGCTGAAATAATCAGGAGGCCTTGGAGAAACAGGCTCCTGAGGAGACTTGACCTATGGTCCTTGACAATGACAGGTAAGGCCCCTCGGGGAAGGGGCAACCTAAGACAAGTATTGGCCAATAAAGGCAGCAGATAAGAAATTGGGGGACACGGAGAAAGGGCAAAAAGGCCCCAACACCTCTAGGCTTGGCTTGGACATAGCCAGAGTCCTCTTTGCAGCCGAGAAGCAGTCTCCTTATCCCTTGGTGGTTCCCTCCCACTGCATGGCTAACAGTGCAGGAAAAACAACCCTAAATCAGATCTGGTGGTTGCCAGGGTAATCAGGCCTAAAAGTAAATTCTTTAGAGTGTGCTCTGTTCCTCCCTTATATCTCTGGTCAGCTCATGCTACGAAGGACCTTCACATTATTTACACCCCTTACCCTTTATCATTAAGGCACCTGCCCTTATCTTCATTTTCTTTTGTTTAGAGTCGTCTCCTCTCGGATCCATGTAAATCAGTGAAATCCTGTCACTTGTTTTCTTAAAGGTTTCTATTCTCTGTGAAACTTAACATGCTAATGTAATGAGTGTATGTATGCATTCCTGTTACCTAGCCCACTGATAAGTTTTTCAATAAAAGCCTTGGAACAAAGGGCAACAGGGCCTTCCCCACTAGGGGGATGTGCCATGGCCTTCTCCAGTAGGAAGAAAGTGCCCTGTCTGTTCTTCTGGCAAACAGAGAAGTGTTTGCAATGTTTTGTGTTTATTTCCCCTCATCTGTGACAATCCTGGGATGGGCTCTGCAGGTTTCAGAGCCCTGCTCCCACCTCAGCTGGCCCCAGCTGGTTTCCCTCAGGTTTCAGGGAGCGCTGCACTCTGCGGTGCTCCCCCGTGGTGGTGCACCCCTGCAGCCGCTGTGCAGTGTGACAGGGGTCTAAGCTCCAAGCTGGGCTCCCCAGCCTAGAGCATGAGAACCAGGAAAGAAACTCAGATAACATTGGCTGTGAAAAGCAGCAGGGTTTCTGTCCTCTAGGGAGAGATGGCTGTAGATGCAGAGAGCCTCTCAAAGGGCCAAAGCACAAAACCTTTTTTGCAGCTACTTACCCTGGGCTCTGGCTGGGGGAGAGCAAAGTGGACTAGAGACACATGAGGAGAGTCTGGGGTTGGTGTCTCTGGAGAGAGAGCTGAAGGATCAGCTGCAAAAATCCCTGTGCTGAGTCATTTCCCATACTGCAGAAGCCATGTTTCTTGGGCAGAGCACTCCCCTCCATCCAGCATCATCCTGAGGGGAAGCGATAGCCCCGCTCACAGATATCCCTCTTGTCCCACCCTGTTGAGGTTAAGCTGGGCTGCTAAGGAGTACAGCTGGAGGCTATTTCAGTGACAAAGCTTAACAGAGAGCTTGCAGTCCAAGGAAGATTCCTGGGAGTTCTGAGACTTCAGCGGACCCTCCCCTGGAACTGGTGCCGGTAAAAGCCAGCCTTGATGTGCAGTCTGGTTCTTTATGTACACACCGAGGCCCAGCAGATGGAGCCACAAGCTGTAGAATGCTGATAGCTCCAAACAGGTTGCCCAGAGCCAGTCATAGGCAGCACTGACATAGTCTGTACTAGAGTCTTTGCGGATCTACCCAATTAGAAACAAATGATTCTAGGAATTTATCTGAAGGAACTGAAACAATAATTCAAAAGAGCATAAGCACCTTTATTTTCATTGCAGCATTATTCACAATCACCAAGTTTTGGAAGCAGCCCAAGAGCCACCAGTAGATGAATAGATAAAACAACTATGGGACATTTACACAATGAAATACTACTGGACAATAAAAAAGGGGAGAAGAAAGTTTTATCTTTTGCCACATCATGGATGGACCTGGAGAACATTAGCCTATGTCAAATCAGCTAGTCAGAGAAAGGTAAATACCATATGATTTCACTCATATGTGGAATCTAATGAACAAACTGAACTAACAAGCAAAATAGAGACAGACTCAGAAAGCAGGCTGATAGCTCTGGGGGAGGTGGTTATGGGGTGGAAGGATCAAACAAAAAGGGAAAGAATGCATGGACACAGATAACAGTGTGGTGACTGTGGGGGGGGGGGGTAGAAGGGGGCTAAATGGTAATGGAAAAAAATAAATTAAAAAAAAGAGGAGCACTTGGGACTCCAGAAACCCTCCATCTCACTCAGCTACAGTCCTGAATGGTTTTCACAGACAAAAGTTATGGAGATTTCTCTTTCTGTCACTGGGAACCTTCCTGGGCTTGGGGGCCTAGTGTGGGGCTTGGACCCCTCATTCCTCAGGGGGGACCTCCACAACTGAGACCTCCCAATTTTTGACTGCCACCCATGGGTGTGGGACCAACTTGTTCCAAGTCTCATGCTGAAAAACCTGTTGATACATACCCTGAACAATACTTGTAACATACTGTGAACAATACTGGTAACTCTCAAGCTTTTAAAAATTTTTGCCACTCTGATGTGTAGAGTGATATTTCATTGTGGTTTAATATGCACTTCCTTGAATGATAATGATTTTAATAAATTTTTATATATAATCCTTTTATTTACAAAGAACCACGTATTTTCTATTCTTTGCCTGCTTTTATTTCTTATTGAAGAAATTTTTGAATATATTTTTAAATTTACAAAAATATAGACACATACATTCTACATTTTCTTTATTTTTTATATCTGTTGCAAATATTTTATGACACCCTTACTTT